CTGGTCACGCCATCTCAAAAAGAAAAATACATTGGATTTGGAAAAGGTACAGAAAAGGGCAACAAAAATTATTAGGGGTATGGAACAGCTTTCGTATGAGGAGAGATTAATAAAACTGGGACTTTTCAGCTTGGAAAAAAGACGATTAAGGGGGGATATGATAGAGGTCTATAAAATCATGGCTGGTGCAGAGCAGGTAAACAAGGAAGTGTTATTTACTCCTTCTCATAACACAAGAATTAGGGGTCACCAAATGAAATTAATAGGCATGAGATGGATCACCTGATGATCACTAAAAACAATGAGGAGTACTTGTGGCACCTTAGAGACTAACACATTTATTTGAGCATAAGCTTTCTTGGGCTAAAACCCACTTCATCAGATGCATGGAGTGGAAAATACAGTAGGAAGATGTATACACACAGTACATGAAAAGATGGGAGTTGCCTTACCAAGTCAGGGGTCAGTTCTAATGAGACAATTCAATTAAAGTGATCACTGTTCTGTTCATTCCCTCATTGGCCACTGTCAGAAGACAGGATACTGGGCTAGAGGGACCATTGGTCTGACCCAGTGTGGCCATTCTTATGTACCCATATCCAAGAGTTTGAAAGTGAGGATGGGACTTGAGTTATGGGCAACATTTGAGCTATAACTTGAGTTATCTCTGCAGTGAAAACAATACCATAAGAGATACTCTCTGTCACCTCCCACAGCTGGATACTGAATGCATCAAAGACTTTTTTAGTCCTGGAGAAGGATGGCTGGAAACAAAGACCCTGTTGCCACAGGATCTCAATCCTGAAGTATACACAGAAAAGAGGTCAAGGTGGGTATAACCCCACAGTGAGCTTATTGTGGGTGGGTGAGGAGGGGGAACTGGAGGGACAGCTGAGAGGCATTGCACAGGGAGAGGAGATTTCAAGGCCTGTCAGCAGGTGGTTAGAAGAATGCTCATTTTGGTCTATGAAGATGGGGATGAATGGATCATCGAGGAATGTTTCCCATGACAAATGCCCTCACTGACCCACAGAACTACCAGACACTTTGCGCCTCTACCAAAGTCTCTGTCCTACAGAGGAAACCATCCCACCCACCTCCACTAGTGATTGGCTCCTATTTAAAGACAGGACCCCCAATTACATGGGGACAACTGGACTTTCAGAGAAGCTGACTCTGTGTTTGGCTTGTGAACAAAACCTGGCTATGAAAGACTTCAGGGGAGGAATCTTTGCTGGTTCCTAGCATTTTTAAGTTATTTCTCCCCTCCCTGAGGAATGTGTGATAGCGTTCAGAATTTATCAGTTACCCTAGGAAGTCTAGCTAGGAAGAGCCTTGACAGTGCCTCGTGCACTGCTCTAGTCATCCACGGTCTGTACCACTGCCCTAGCAAGAAACAGAAGAACACAACCTGTGCAGAAGTAATAATAAGAGATTGTAACTCTGAGTTGTCCTGTGAATTTTCTCCCACCAATGACTTTGCCTCCCCACAGCTACTGCAAGGCATCTGACTAAGTGGTGACACAATAGCTTGCATATTGGTAACACCATCCATCCATAATTTTTATAGATATGTAAATATTCCTCTCACAGCCCTCTTGAGGTAGGACACCTAAGTCTGATTATCCCCATTTTGTAGCAGGGGTAAATGAAAAGCAGAGAATAGACCTGGTTAAAACTCAGAACTTCCAGTTCACAGGAAATTGACATTTTGAAATCTAGTTTCATTCTCATTCAGAACAAAACCAACGTATCAAAGTTCCGCATGAACTAGAAATTCTCTAAAATGTTTGTTTTGGAAACACCAGCACAGGGTGTTTCCAAAACAGAATATGCTCCCCAGACCCAGGCAGCTGCTGACTGATATTGGCATGATTCTTCTCAGTTTCACAGCTGCCCACCACTGAAAAGCAGCCCTCTAGCTGAAAAGAATCATATCCGTTACAGTCAGCAGCTGCCAGAACTTGCATGGTCTCAGGTGGGATGCCATCGGGGGTCCCAGTTCCAGGGCAGTCTGCAGCCCTATGAAGCCCAGGCTTTCTAGCAGCTCGCTAGGCCAACTGGCAGGAAACTGGGCAGATGTGCAACAGACACTTGCCTTTGATTTGTCAGAAGTTTGTCAAACCTGATTCATTTCCACAAAACATTTTGGGGTTGACAAATCAGCATTTTCCAGTGAAACCCGGTTTCTCTGGAAAATTCCCAACCAGCTCTAACAGATGTTAAAGTGAGTTGTCCAAGGTCACACTGCAAAGTTAGTGGTGGAGCTGGGACTAGAAGCCAGATCCCCGACTAAGAGCTTGTCTCTGCAGCACAGCAATGTGAGCTAGGGGGTGTGTGGTTTTTGTTGCGTTCTAACTTCCCCTTGTAGACTCAACTAGCACTCTCTAAAAAGGCACCACTGCACATTAACATAGCCCTGTGTGAAATGTGACAACATCCGTGTGCGCTGGGCACCTGTCAGAGTGCACCAGCGGGGTCTACCTGGGGCAGTTAGGGCACAACACGTCAGAGTGCTCCAGAAATCACACACCCCCAGTTCGCACTGCGGTGCCATGTAGACAAACCCTAAACTTCCCTCATTCATTAATTTGTATAGCACCTTTGATCCCAAAGAACCCCAGAGTGTTCTACAGACTCCATTCCTGGGTGTAACCACACTGCTTTCAGCACAACAAGACCCAGGCAGGAAGCAAAAACGGCCTTAAACTGACAAACAGTTCAACCTTCAGCATTAGGATGCTCTGTCTTACACCTGGATGACCATTGCCCCAAGGGGCAATTCCAGCAGCTGGGACTAGCCAGATTGCAGGGCCACTGTTTTAACCTCATTTTGCACTTGTGTAACTGATTGCACAAGCTACAAGGCAGCATCAAATCAGGATCAATATATTTTTGAATATCTTTAGGCTGTCCTAGACCTGCAGGCAAGCCAGCAGAGAAGGCTTTGGGGGCCATTGCACAAAGTGATTGAGAGAAGCCAAATGCTAGACAAACAGAGGGAGCTGGCAGGAGCGTAGAGGGAGGTCAGTTCCATGAGGCAGGCTAGAGGTTAGAAGCTTTTAGAAAAGAAAGGAGAATATGGCCTAGTGGGTGGGTCACTGAACTATGACTCAGGAGTCTTGGGCTGTGTTCCTGGCTATGCCACTGGTCTGCTGTGTGACCCTGGGCAAATAATTTCCTGTCTCTGTGCCTCAGTTTCCCCATCTGTAAAACAGGAATAATGATATCAACATCCTTTCTCGCGTGCTTTGAGATTGTCATGGGATCCACTCATCATACATGGCACCTCCTCCTGATGGCTCTGAGGATTAGCTCCAGCCAGGCATTTCCCTCCTCTAGCAGTATCGCTGCCTGTCGTCTCTTTCACCCTGCAGCCCCTCTCACTCCCAGAGCTGCAGCTTCCTGCTTGTGACTTGGCTCTCCAGCCAGGTCACTAAAGCCCACCCTATCCAAGCAAAGACCTTCCAGACCAGCTATCCACTCCAATGCCCTGCACCACTTCCCAGTGGCTGGTAGGGATCACAGGCCCATCACACTGAGTTCCAGCCCAGGGACCCTATAGCGAGCAGCCAACACCTGTACTATAGACCCCTTCCCTACAACCCCCTTGCTACTCACAGCTCCTGGGCTCTATACAGGCCCCTCCTGTTCCTACCCAGCCGAGCCCATTTCCCATTAATGGCCTGTTCCCTGTCTCCTTCAGGTGCAGCCTGGGCCATTAATTGGCCTGCCTGGCCACTTCAACTCCTCCAGGCCTTGTGTTAGGTGGGCACCCCATCACAGAGATCTACTGAAGAAAAGCGCTATATGAGAGCTAGGTATTATATGCAGCACATTGATTCATTTTACTCTTTGCACTGGCTTCTGCAAACCTTTTATCTGCAAATGTATGATGCTACTGTCCGTTTAAAATGTCTGTAACTATAGACAGCTGTAGGAGATTGAGATGATGATGATGATGATTTGTAGTACAGAAATACTTAAGAGGGGGCCACAAGCACAGGACCTAATTATGCTAGGTGCTGTACATACACATAGTAAGAGGCAGTCACTGCCCCCAAATAATTTCTAATTTAAATAGACAAGACAGACAAAGGTGGCCAGAAGGAGGGCTGACATAAACGAGAGTAACAGGTGTCTCTCAAGGAGAGATCTTCATGTGGAGGACCAAGAATTCTATTAGCTTGATTTAACTCCATATCCTTTCCCATCACTACTCTGGTGTGAGGGCCTTTTCCTCTGCAGTGCCTTTTGTGCGTTACACTCTTTGTTTCATCAACCCTCCATCTCTTCCAATGTCAGCTAAAATCTTCTCTCCCTTTCCTGTGCCTCTCAAATTTCATTTTCCCTCTGTTCCTTATTATTTGGCCTAGTAACTGGCTAGAACAGAACCTCACTAATTATGGTGATGCGCTCTGTGAATGATCGGGTTTTTGGCAGATTAGTGAGTTAAGTGAACAAGCAGGTTAAAAAAGACCCAGGCTACCACATCGCAAAATGTACTTAATTCATTTATTTGACAAGTGTTTTAATGATAACATTTCATAGTATGCTAGTAGATACCTAGTATAAGAGAGATGCTTGTGATGGGGTAACTGAATGATTGACTCCATTCATGTCTGTGTTTCTCTTGATCTTAGAATCCTGAGTTTGGTGCACGTCTTCATTATGGGCCTGATCATGTGCCACTGAAGACGGTGGGAACTTTGTCGTTGATTTCATTTGGCGAAGGCTCAAGCCCTAAATGTCTCTAAGGGTACGTCCAGACTACCCGCCGTATCGGCGGGTAGCGATCGATTTATCTGGAATCGATATATCGCGTCTCGTTAAGACGCGATATATCGATCCCCGAATGCGCTCCCTGTCGATTCCGGAACTCCACCGGAGTGAGCGGCGGTAGCGGAGTCGACGGGGGAGCCGCGGCCGTCAATCCCGCGCTGTGAGGACGGGAGGTAAGTCGGAATAAGATATGTCGACTTCAGCTATGGTATTCCCGTATTTGACCTTTCTGTCAGAAGTCATCAGAAGGTCATCTGGATGGACTGCAACTGCACAAGTGTCCTTTTGAGCGACACTCTTGAAATCTGGTAGGCTCATGGACTGCCGACTACATGGGGAAGGGAAAACGAACACTTGAAAGTGAACATTTCCAAACATCACTCTGAGGCTATGTCTACACTGAACTTGGAGGTTGTGACTGGAGCTGGTATGGGCACACTCACACCAGCTTTAATCTAGCGAGCATGGCCAATCTAGAAGACGTAGCCGCATGGACTCTGATGTGGACTAGGAACATCCGGGATTCTGACCCTCTGATGGCCTGCACTGCTGCTGCTACGCTCTATTTTTAGCCCACTACCTGGATCAGAGCTAGCACCGGTATGTCTTCTCAAGCTGGGAAATCACAGCCCCAGCTCGAAGTGTAGGTATCCCCTAAGTATAAAGGAGGTTCAGGCTCCTAATATAAACAGATGAAGCTGCTATTTGCACTGGTGACTCTGATTTCAAACAGGGGTAAATTCTTCTAATGCAAATAGTGGCTTTGCCTGTCCACGCAAAGGATTTGCACTAGTGCAGTTACACCAACGGCTGGAATTGGGGCAAATCCCCAATATGGACAATGCCAAGATCCTGGCAATGTGAAATCTCTCTGCAGCACAGTCTCAGTTATTAAACGCTGGGAAGTGGGGAGAGACCAGTGGGGATTGTGTGCCAACTAGAAGGCGTGAAAGAGTAATGAAGTGCACACGGGAGAGCTTCTACTGTATTTTAACCTTGTGTGCAGTGGTTCAGGGACGGGAGGCATTTGACACAAAGGCGCAACGCAAAATAATGTTGCACATGTGCAAAGTGGATAAATACAAAAAGAAATAACTGCTAATAAAATGTGTGTATATCATAAGCATTTTAGCTGTGAGATGCAGCCACATATAACGTTCAAGGGCGTCCTCCGAGTTTGCAGCTGCAATCATGTTACTAGACTAAAAGGTGCCGTAGGCTGGTACTGTGGTTAACAGCTCCACAGGCAAAGGAGAAGAACTGTAACTTCAGCAGCCAGCTGGTGCTGCTTGATGCTCTCTTTGTGAGTTTAATTGCCCCTTTCCCACCCCCCCCCCCAGCCTCTCCAAGTTTGGTATAGGCAGTATGTCTAAAGGTTTTGAAATTGACAGTCAAAGTCTGTCATCCTGCAGATGATGAACTTCCACTGACGATCCCTGCGGGGGAAGAGAGACAAGAGATAGACATTAATGAGGCGAGGGCAACCGCAGAGGACAAAATTATACAAATGAGAACAACTTTGCACTAAAGGTGCCTCCAGCTAGCAAACTCTGACTGTCTGCCACTAGCCCAATCAGTTTTCCTCCAAGTGTTACCTGCTGTGCTGTTACATTACGGAAGGCAGCTGAATATTTCAGAAGATTAATAATGGCCTGCCCTGCCCCCTGACAAACTTACGAGCATAAGGCTACTGAATTACCCATCAGAAGATATCAACTTTTGATCATGATCTATCTCCAGTAAGCTTCAAACCAGTGATTAGAGGAGTAAAGCCAGGCTGGTTATGATCAAAAGTCACTGGTCAGGTGATGAGTCGCTCTGTAATCTGCGGTACATGAAATGGGTTGGTTGGCTTCAGCTGTCATATGGTACTGGGTAACTAAAGAATTCAGATGTAAAGTAAAATATTGGCAGATGGCAACTGTGATTTAAATTAGTAATGAGTGGCTCTCCAAAGTTTTGAGGTTTCCAGAAGCTCTGATACAGCTAATTGTCTGAGCTTGAGTCTGAACACTGGGTTGGTAACTTTGTGAGAGCTAGTCCAGGCAAAGGAGAGATTTCCTTCCCAGATCATGCACAGTCTCTGTCTTCTGCTGGCAGCCCCATACGGAGCATGCCTCTATGCATTCAGGAAAGACAGGAGGTGCTGTAGAGAATGGAAGACAGACACTGATCTCACATTTGCTGGGATGTGACTCGATTGACTTCAGCTGAGTTACTCTTGACTTACACTGGAGAAAAATTTTGCCCCCTGGACTCTCTATAAGTAAAAGTCCTTTCAGTTCAGTTTTAATTTACTGTACATATTATTATGGTAGTTGTCCACATTTTAATGGAGTGTTATTTAGAACAGTGTGTCTCTCACATTAACCAGCAGGGTTTAATCTTTTTTTGAGATTTTTGCCTGGCTAGCTAGTTTTGATTGTTGTTTGCTGACACGTATGTTGCCAAGGGCTAATATAATGCCAAACTTATTTTTAGATTCAGTTTAAGAAATCATCATCTGTGTTACATGCGTGCTGATCACAGATGTGTTACTCCTTTGGTCGCTTGGATACCCAGAGATACAGGTACATCATGCTTCAACAAGGTTTTACAGCTCAAAATTATGGTCTCTTAAATTAGCACCTGTTGTAATGGAGGCTCTAAGCTCAAAAGCTCAGATACAGTAACTTTGCCATTAAGAGACATTGTCAAGATAAAAATCAAGCGCGTTTAAAATAAATGTTCTTTACTTCATGTATTAATAATACTGTCTATGATATTAAAACAGAGTTTTGAAACGTTAATTTAGACCTCAATCCATCAAACAAACTTAATTTTAAGTCCCATCAACTTTATTTGGGACTGTTCAAGGCACAGGCGCCGACTTTCATTTTCCTGGGCGGGTGCTCTGCCTCCTGCCCCCAGCGCCTCCTGCCCACCACCGAACAGTTGATCGGCGGATGGCTGGTGGGTGCTGAGCATTCACTATTTTTTTTCCATGGGTGCTCCAGCCCCGGAGCACCCATGGAATCGGCATCTATGATTCTGGGCTTACTTTGTACCCTTGGTGCTGTTCGTTTAATCTCTTGCATTTCTCTTAGGGTACCTTGTAAAAAAAGGTGTGTTCTTAGCTCAGGTTAGCTAACTCAGGTTAAAGTAGCAGTGAGGACATAGCAACTTGGCTTCTAACGCAAGTCAGCCACTCAAATTCAATCCCAGGCTCCTCTAACCTGAGTTAAAGCTGAGTTTCTGTGTCTTAACCTGAGTTAAGAACACACCTGTTTTTGCAGTGTAGACATACGCTTAATTAGGAAGCAAAGTTTTACTGGTCACTTTCACTCTGTGGTTCTCATGTACCTAGTTCTGTTGTATTCGGGTTTCCGACACTGCAGGGAAATATTTAAATCCTCAGATAACCTGTTTCCAATTAAATTAAAAATGTACACTGTTTCTAATCCTATTAGATTAGATTTGTTGTTGTTATACAAAACCTAATTGGGAGCCTAAAACACCTGATAGTTTAGCTAATCTATCTGGGTAGTCAGTGTCTTCCTAGGCAGTTCTATTGCACTTACCACACAGGTAGCTGAATGCCAATGTGTCTTTAATGATGATTCTCATAGCAGTTAAGAGATTTCTCACTATTCAGTTCACTCAAGCAAAGACACAGAAGAACAGATGACAAAAATCTCTGTATACCAAATTATTGAACTTCGTATAAGGCATGCTCCAGAAAAGCTGTGGCTGGGAGTGACTTTTGTGTCCCGCCACTCGCACTGCCAAAACCTGCTGGGTTCCCACAAGGATTGCTGAGGAGGGCATGCTTCATGCATTTTAACGTGTACACCCTACAGTATAACCACGGCCCACTCCGTGACTGCAGATTCCAAACCAGGATTTAGGGAGACCTGGACTGGTGGCACTTGGCAGAACAGCCTGGATTAGTCATTCTGGCAACTAGAGAGCTGGAAAAAACAGCAAGGTCTGTCTGTGTCCAGCTACCTCCCTAAAGATTCCCAGGCTGTGTTACATTAGCCTTTTTTTCTCTAAAATCCCCCACTGCTGCTATCATAGGTTCAGCTCCACCAGTGATAGTGATGGTGGGACAGGGGGCTCCTGGATGTAGCTGGCATTTTAAGCACCATGTCATCGAACCCTGCTCAAAGGTGTTCCAACCAGGAGCCAGCGCCTCATCTACACTAGTGCTCCCACTGCTACTATCACTGGGGATAGCAGCAGTGGGACATGCTAAAGGGAAAAACCTAGTGTAGCCATGACCTTGGAGTCTTGTCTCTTTTCTACCGCAAGGGAGACTAGGCACCTCTGATCCAACTGCCTGTCTCTTGCATCGGTTACTCCTGCCTCTGTTAGGAATACTTTGTGCTACAAGGTTGCCAGTAAGCAATCAGCAGCCCCATGCAGTTTTGTCAGAAACTATCATTTCTGGGACCGTAAAAGCCTGGGAATTTATTATCATTTCTGCAAATCCACGACTCCCGTGGCATTGTGCTGACAACCTTGGCCAGGGGGAGTCCCTGGTTTGCTGCCAGGGAGCTGGGAAGGTCACTGTGGCCAAGGCATCTCTTCTTTTCCTCCCACTGTAAATTTGGGTGGGCGGGAAAAGTGTTTGAACTCCTAACTCTCCTCTCTCCAGCCACTCTTGGCAACAACTGACTGCCTCAGTACACCCCAACTCAGTATCTACAACGGTATCCCATAACGGTGGGTTAGCAAATTGACTTGGTGTCACTGCTAAAATATCCAGCAGTGACATAGTTAACTGGGCACTGCATTGTTCTACATTAGGTTCACATTTTGGAGGTTATCTCTGCAACCATGATGGCTAGAGTGGATAATTTATTTTAAGGTGAAGATTTTGGAGCACAATAATGCAGCAATTTCAAAAGCAGACCAATGATATCCATTTGCATGCCTGTATAATCTCATTGTACACAGAGCCCTGCTCATAAGGTGGTAACGAATGCTAATGATAAATAATGGTCTGGCATGATTAATACAAAGTAATTAACTCATTCCCTGGAAAGGAATCAGTGTTATATTTCATTACCCTTAATTCTCTGTGCCTGACTTTGCAGCATGCTTCAAACTACAGGGCCTGAAGTTGCTCACTTACACCTTGTTTTATATCACTGATTTCAGTGAAGTTATTCTGCATCTACGTTGTGTCAAAGGGGTGGAAGAATCAGGCCCATTATAGGTAAAATTCTCTATTTTAAACCACTCCATATTGGGCCTTATGAAACACCACGGGTTCTACAGTCCGCTTCTGCAGACCCCCATCCAAATCCGCAGTAGATTAATAGGGTTTCCCTTTTTTGTGCGTCCTTCTGCCTAAAACCCAGCTTCTGATTCATTAAGCTGTTTGTGAATGGGTTCTTACACTAATGAACCAGCTTGATGTATGGTACAGAATATTCATCAGTGTTTGGCCCAATCCACTTTTAAGTTATTGAAGGGATGGGGCTATTCAGTCACATTATGATTGTGTATGTAGCTAAGATGTTGTGCCTTTGTTTTTTATATTCTGCACCTTTAAATTACTAAGAACTCTCCCTGTGTGCATAACTCATGTATTTATGCATCACCCTGAACAGAGGAGATGCACATACTGTCTGTCTTCTCTCATGAAGACTTTACTTTTGTTCCTTTCTGTTACTTTTATTTTAGACAAAGGAAAACAATTTTAGATGGAATATATTGTGTTGCTCTTTGCATATGGAAAAACATGTAATTGAAATCCCCTCAAATTGTTAATGTCAGTTCCCTGAATGTCCACAAACACAGGCATTTTAGTCCCTGTCAAGGCTGATGGGTGTCCATTAAAGGGAGCTACCCTCCCCCCACTTCATTTATCACAGTCCCTTTCACATGACTGTAAATTATAAGAATTGGTTTCAGGCGTGGGGAATAATCTGAAGTCAGGTCGATAAGAATATGGAAATTACTGTACAGGGTCAGACCAATGATCTGTCCCTGTTGGCACACTGCTTAAAGGAGTTCCAACCAGCAGCCAGCCACCAGCACTAGGCTCTACTCACTGGGTCAGAGAAAATAATCGTACAATCACCATATATAAAAGCTGGGGGTGGTGTTATATTAGGATTGCTGTGAGGTTTCAGAGGGGATATATCTACTGTTATGATGGGGTTTGGGGGTTGGGAGTGGAAGGGGAGTCCCAGTCCTCTTCTCCTTGTACCCCCAATGATAGCACCTAGCAACTGTCTACCTTAATCAAGCTAAAGATGGCAAATGCAGTCTTCAGGGGCTCTGTGGCTATGGCAATTGATGCCAGTGTAAGGGGATTGAGGGCATTGTATCCTTCAGGACTCCACCCTGAAAGAGGCTTCTAATTTGTCAGGAAGCAGCATACATCTGATGTGGATCACCTGCGGCTGATGCAGTGTGGCGCACACAGACTGAGCATGCAAGTGAGCAGAAGGAGCAGATGTGTCTCCACCTCTCCACACACAGTTTGCAGCATTTGGCAGTCCTGTGTGGCCTGAGGGAAACACCAAGCGCTCTATACACCTACTGTCTCCCCAGTTGCCTTCATGAAGGGTGGGCTGAAATGAGCACCTCTGTCCTTCCAGGGGTATGGGATAGTCAAGCTGGAATTTTAAAGATCTGGATAATTTTATAAACAACAGTATCCAGAGCTAGGCCAGAGCCAAAACTCTAGATCCAAACACCAGTAAATCTGGGGGGAGCACAGATCCATATGTGAACTTTTTGGCTGAGGCCCACTGCTAATAACACTTGTAGCTATGCCTACGAATCAAATCTCATCTAAACTGATTACCACTGGGGATGGGGGGGGTATTCCTCCCCTCCCCCATGTACAGCCCATAACAATTACCCAGCTGCATGAGGACTTACCCAGATGAGGGATAGTGCATTTGATGGACCATCGTTTGATCCAGTATGGCAATCCTATATTCATGATGGGGGGGAAATACCCACTTTTTCTCCCACTTCCAATAACAACACAAAACAAAAAGCAAACCTGTCCACAGCAGAGAAAGTAGTAGTTGCTCCTCGGATGTAATGATCATAAGTGTACATCATCATGTCCATATCTTCTCCATAGTGTCCTGGCTGTTCTGTTGTCATACTTTGTCAAGGGAAAAGAAAACACAATTTACCTTTTGGAAGAAACAAGGAATGAAAAAGAATTGACTGAGTTCAGATCAAGTGCCAGAATCTTCACCTCTATTTCTTTGAAAGTCTTTACTCTTTGAAAGTTCTTATCCATTGACAACATAATAATGCAGAGCCCTACACATAACATGGTTTTGTTTCTCTTGCATGCAATTTGTTCTTGGAATCCTTTGGGTAATTACAAAGAATTTAGCTTGTGTAGAGCAGGTCTGATTATTAAACATTGCCTTTCTCCCAGAGTTGCTGCTATCTGAACAAGAATGTAATGCCTGTCTATTTCTTCTGGTTTTGTTGCAAGTATTTTCACTTTCCTAGTATCAGTTTGTTTGGTTTACTACAGCAAAGTGTCCTAAATATTGCCAAGTCAAACAAATACAACCATCTGAAGAAGTGAGGTTTTTACCCACGAAAGCTTATGCCCAAATAAATCTGTTAGTCTTTAAGGTGCCACCAGACTCCTTGTTGTTTTTGTAAATACAACCATGTCTCCATTTATGACTTATATGTATGAACATAACAGCTATTGTGTTCCTCTTTCTTCTCTTTCCTCCTGGTTTGTATTCACGCTTTAAGAGAGAATGATCTGGATTAAATGTGTACAGTGTAATTTATCCAAGGATCTCAAAGTGCTTCTGCAAACATTAATTAAATAATAGTTACAAGCAAACTTCCTGGGACGTAGGCAAGTAGTATTATTCCCATTTTACAGATGAATAAACAGAGGCACAGAGAGGGTAGGCAGCTTGCCCAAGGTCATCCATCAAGACTCTGGTGGAGGTTGGCAATGGAGACAAGAGGCTGGATTGATCACTGGGTTTATGCAGGTGTAAATTGAGTTATATCAACGTGAATCTGGAGTAACATAGTGATGAATCAGGTTTCAGGAGGAAATTCTGTCCCCATCGAAGTCAATGCAAAACTACCCCTGACTTTAATAGGAGCAGGACTTCACCCCAGGAGTTCTAACTCCCAGTTCCCTGATCTAGGCCCCAATTCAGCAAAGTCCTTCAGGACATTCTTACACACACAAATAGCCCCCTCCCTATTCAGCAAAGCACTCAACTATGCGCTTGAAGCCTATTAAAGTCAATGGGATTTAAGCACATCCTTGAATATTCTGCTGAATAGGGATAGTATTATTGGGGTTACTGTACTTACATGTTAAAAATTAAGCATATGCTTAAGTGTTTTGGTGAATCAGGGCCCTAACCTGTAACTATGGGAACTATCAGAAACTGAAAGAATATTTTAAGGCAAATGTTTCTGATTTTTCAAAAAGATCATATTTACATATGATCTTAGGCTGTTTTATACCAGAACTGTTTCTGTGAAAATTCTCTGGAATTACCACCAATGGCTGTATAATTAAATGCATTTTACATTACTTTGTTTACCATACTATTGAGCTGTTTATTTTCTCTGTACATAGCAGATGTGACTTAATTACAGGTCATTTTCTGCTCTTGAAAATGAAAGGAAAAGACCATCCAGTGCAACATCACAGTTGGCAAAATATTATTCCCGGGCAAATGAAAATAAGAATCAGGTTAGAATTCTGATGCTGCTGTTTAAGACCTTAAGGGCATCAGGAGCTGATTCCTTTTTACCCCACACGCATTCTTCTGCCACCGACCTATCCCCTAACCATACACCATCATCAAACAAATCAGTGATTGCAGCATGAGTGCAACACTGCCTGGTCTTATCTGAGAAGTGTGTGATCAGGTCTGTGTAACAGCATCCATGTCAGCGTGCCAGTCAGGGGACTGGCGATCAACCCAGTCTCTGTGGTGCGGTGTTGTTAAGTGATGATCCACATACAACATTTCATCACTGATACAGGCAACTGCTGCAGACAACTGACTGGCGGAGAGGGAGGGAAAGCTCAGTGGTTTGATCATTGACTTGTTAAACTCAGGGTTGTGAGTTCAATCCTTGAGGGGGCCATTTAGGGATCTGGGGCAAAAATCTGTCTGGGGATTGGTCCTGCTTTGAGCAGGGGGTTGGACTAGATGACCTCCTGAGGTCCCTTCCAACCCTGATATTAACAATAAAAAAAAAAAAAAAACCCTGTCTGAAGGGAGGAATAATACAGCCAGAGGAATGGATGATACTGAGCTGGGTTTTCTGATAGTAGGAAGGAGACAGAGATGTCCTCTGTGGATGAGAGGATTTGGGTGATAGGCCTCAATCCAACTCCCACTGAGATCCCTGAAGAGATCTGGATCAGGCCCAGAGTTGTCTTCTTAGCATATGCACAATGTGCCTCAAGTGTTGGGTTGCCAGGCATCTGGTTTTTGACCTGAACGCCCGGTCGAAAAGTGACCCTAGTGGCTCCGGCTGGCACTGCTGACCAGGCTGTTGAAAGTCCAGTCGGTGGTACAGTAGGGACCCGGGGTTAAGGCAGACTCTTTGCCTGCCCTAGCTCTGCGTGGCTCCCAGAAGCAGCCACCAGGTCCCTGCGGCCTTTATGCGCATGGGCGGCCAGGAAGGCTCCATGCATTGTCCGCGCCCTGAGTGCCGGCTGAGCAGCTCCCATTGGCTGGGAACTGCGACCAATGGGAGCTGCGGGGTGGCGGCACACTGCAGGTGCAAGGGCACCCACAGCGCACGGAGCCTCACTGATGCACCTAGCGGCCTCAGGGACCTAGCGGCTGCTTCCTGGGAGCTGCAGTAAGCACCGCCAGGACCCCACACCCCTGCCCCAGCCCGGAGTCCCCTCCCACACCCAAACTCCCTCCTGGATCCCACACCCCGCAACTCCCCTCAAACTCCAACCCCCTGCCCCAGCCTGAAGCCCCCTTCTGAACCCCAAACTCCTCATCCCCAGGCCCACCCCAGAGCCTGCACCCCCAGCCAGAGCCCTCACCCCCCTCCCAGTCCCCAACCCCAGCCCGGTGAAAGTGAGTGCGGGTGGGGGAGAGTGAGCAATGTTGGGAGGCGGGATGGAGCGAGCAGGGGCGGGGCCTTGGAGAAGTGGCGGGGCAGGGGCGGGGTGTGGGTGTTTGGTTTTGTACAATTAGAAATTGGCAATCCTACTCAGGTGACTAGGATTCATCGCCGAATTTGGTCCGCTGGTTGGATCATTAGCTTTCCCAGGCTGGGCCAGGTACTGACAGGGAGTGTGATGTGAACACTGATCCATCCTAAATACAAGTGCGGCATACGTGGCAAAATCTCTTTTCAGTTGTTCCCAAGTGAGATGGCAACTTGTCTTAGACTATGTTTGTGATATAACTTGCGACCCTCTAAACTGAGGCAAACTCAGTTGGAGTATTATTGTGATTGATAGCTGGCACTATATTATTTCTGCTTTGGACACATCTGCCTTCACGCTCTTAAAATATATATCTAGGGCTTCTGTTTTTCAGGGTTTATTAATATCATTGGCAGGGAATTTTTAGCAATTTTTGAGTTTTATGTAGATGTCCAAACATTGGGGATTTTTAGGGCTTTCTCTTTGAATGTACTGTAATAAGCAATGTATATCACATAAGACCATAAGAACGGCCATACTGGGTCAGACCAATGGTGCATCTAGTCCAGTATCCTGTCTTCCAAGAGGGAATGAACAGAACAGGGCAATTATTGAGTTATCCATCCCATGCCATCTCCTACATACCCCTAATCATTTTTGTTGACCTTCTCTGTACCTTTTCCAATTCTAATGTATCTTGCACCAATGCTCTGTCTTGCACTGAGCTTCTCCTCATCCCCAGGCCCACCCCAGAGCCTGCACCCCCAGCCAGAGCCCTCACCCCCCTCCCAGTCCCCAACCCCAGCCCGGTGAAAGTGAGTGCGGGTGGGGGACTGGGAGGGGGGTGAGGGCTCTGGCTGGGGGTGCAGCCCATTATGGACCCTGGCAGTAGAGAATAGTCATGTGTAGCACGCTCTGGCCTTGGCCCTGACATGCCCATTCCACCTCCTATCCTACCCATATGTTACTCATTACAGTAGTACATGCTGTAATAAGTAATCTCTCTGAAAGGTTCGAACCAGAACTATGTTAAAGCACACGAGGGAACCTTTAGTCACACCAGTGGGGTTTACTCAGAGGAATTAATGCACAACACGTTAGTGCGCTTTCAAAATCACACCCTCATAGTCTGCATTCCTGCTCTGTGTAGATAAGCTCTTAGATACCATCATTTCAGGATGGGGCATTTGGTGTTTACTGGATAAATACCCATTTTTTATTGTTTCTCTTTTTGTGTTAGGGGTGTTTTATCAGAAGCCCTAAATATGTATTATTTTAAGCAACATCAGAGACTTCTCAACATGGGCAAATCAGCTTGACTATTTATGTTACTATCTTATCTAGGGCCTGATTTTCACTTACAGTAAGCCACTCTAGCAGAATAAAGGAGCCCCTGAGTAGATGTAAACAGCCCCCTGAGGATATCCCCACGCAGGAGGTCTCCCCAGCTGGTGTAGAGCTGGAATAAGAGCACAATACTGTCCCTGTTCCCAGGCTCCAGTATAGGAGGTGGAATGGGCACGTCAGGGGCGAGGCCACAACACACCACACAATAACTATTCTGTACACCCAGAGTCCATAACTGGCCATGGGAAGCTGAGTGAAAGACAGAACATCCCTGAGGCTGCTCTAACTTACACTATGGGCTAGGCAGGTCCTGGCACCACATCAGAATGTGGGGAGTGCAAAGGTCATCTAAAGCTACCTTTGCCCTTCCCCATTCCACACTTCCTGCCCCAAATATGGGAATGGAGTAAATGAGAATCAAGCCCCTACCATCGATCCCTTGAGTCTACCAAAACTAATGGGATGTAGACTGGAGCCTTCAAGTTTTGCTTTATTATGAATACAGATGCTCCTGAGCCCCTTTTGTTCTGGAGAGGAATGCTATAAATAGGGCTAGGACAGCATGGTTCAAGTTCACTTAGGTCTTTGTGGTCTGTCTGTCTAATTCTATTTTCTTTGACGTTAGCTGT